CTGTGCTTTCCTTGGCAGTGGCGTGTCTAGGTCGGGGGGGGGAGTAGGGGAAGATAGGATGTTGCCATTTTTTTCAGGAACTGAAAGTGCCAGTGATTTAGAAACAGCACCACCACCGTTGTTTAGGTGGGAGATTGTGGATTCTTTTAGGTATGATGGAATTTGGACGGTTGCTATTAGAGAAAACCAAATCCCTTTTTGCCCCCAGAGACCCAATGTCTGGATCCCTGAATGTTAAAACATGTGCTTGATTTAAGTGTCAGTTGCCAAATGGTTTGACCACATGGGCTGAGGTGGATTCGGATCTCCCCAAACTTCCACATTGTGCAGTAAGAATACAAACTGACTGTCAGTACACTGACTGTCACTGACTGTCAGTACACTGACTGTCTATACACTGACTGTCACTGACTGTCAGCTGACTGTCAGTACACTGACTGTCACTGACTGTCAGTACACTGACTGTCACTGACTGTCAATACACTGACTGTCTATACACTGACTGTCAGCTGACTGTCAATACACTGACTGTCAGCTAACTGTCAGTACACTGACTGTCAATACACTGACTGTCAGCTAACTGTCAGTACACTGACTGTCAGCTAACTGTCAATACACTGACTGTCAGCTAACTGTCAGTACACTGACTGTCAGCTAACTGTCAATACACTGACTGTCAGCTAACTGTCAGTACACTGACTGTCAATACACTGACTGTCAGCTGACTGTCAGTACACTGACTGTCAATACACTGACTGTCTATACACTGACTGTCAGCTGACTGTCAGTACACTGACTGTCACTGACTGTCAATACACTGACTGTCTATACACTGACTGTCAGCTGACTGTCAATACACTGACTGTCAGCTAACTGTCAGTACACTGACTGTCACTGACTGTCAATACACTGACTGTCACTACACGGACTGTCACCGACTGTCAATACACTGACTGTCAACTGACTGTCAGCTCACTGTCAGCACACGGACTGTCACTGACTGTCAATACACTGCCTGTCACTGACTTTCAACTGACTGTCAATAATACTCCTTGACAGTCAAGGAGCACTCCTTGACTTTCAGTCATAGCACCTCACATTTGTTTTATATGTCCTGACTGGCTCAACAACTGCGTTCATTTCAGGGTCTAGAGCTGGTGCTGTCAACTCTGGAAGACAGCTCCGAGATTGTGCTGGGAGCCACCAGGCAAGTCTTCCTGCCAGCCTTCGCATCCTGGGCCTACCGGCTGGGACGTCTGGAATCCAACCTTATCACAGCCATACTGAAGAGACTGGAACTAGCAGCCATTGTGAGTGTGGAGCTCCGTCCAAAAGACATTTCTGTGTAACTGTGTACCTTCTAGGGTTTCCTGCTTCCAGGCAAAAGCCTTATTTAATGCTTTTTATTTAAATATTTGGGCTAATTTTTGGTCTTAACAAGGTACATTCAGGCTTCTCTGATCTTATCTTCAGACCCTTGACAAGAATGTGACAGTATCTGTGAACTTCTTTATACATTTATATATGAAAAACTTAACTATAACACTACCTTCTTTACTACTTTACGAAACTTACCTTATTTGCACTTTTTCAAGATGGACAATATCTGATATATCTGTGGTTTTGCCCCACAGAGGCAAATCCAAAAGCGTTTTGCAAACTGATGTTGGTTTGGGTGGAGTTGACCTCCTGTCTGGATTCAAGTCACAAGTTATATACATGTAAATGAATTACAAAAACAAAGCATTCATTTGCTGTTCTTTTTAATACCCTGCTACTTGTGAATGGTGTGTGGTGGTCTCGACTGCATCTCGGATGGATAAATCAAAGTTTACCACACACTTTCCTTTGAATGCAGGATCTGCAGAGAGCCAGTCGTGAGTCGTCCGTTGATGAGAGAAAGCTCCAGCTCTTTAGCTCCACTCTGCAGTGTTTGATTCCTGCATTGTTTGCATCAGTGCTACTCAGTGCACCATTCAATGACCAGGAAGAACCGGATGAAGTCCCACAGTTAGAAGGTATTCGTTACATCACAAGCATTATCTCCTTGTTCTCTTTGCATTGATGTTTTTGAGCTGCCCTGTACCTTGCCATAATTAGATATACCAGCCTTGCTGTCTTTTTGTGGACCCCAAACCAACAGGTTCACATAACACTGATTTTGTAAACCTTGTGTGGACTAAGTTAGGTCCATGCAAGGATTTCTCTTTGTGAAAAAAAGGTTTGAAGTGACTTGGTTCCTGAAGCCCATGTGT